ATATATATAATAGCAAAATGTATCACATGCATATGGGTATGTGGTTTTTGGTTGTTTTATGGGGTTTTGTTGTTGTTGTTGTTGTTGTTGTTTGGTATTTGTTTCTTTTTTCTTCCCACCCCCCCATAGTGCTGAGGACTGAACTCAGGGCCTCATGAATGCTAGGCATACACTCTACTTCTGACCTAACCTGCCCCTTAGGCCCATTTTATATATTTTTATTGAAAATTAAACATTTAAAAAATATAATATGGAAACTCCCGACACCAGGTTCCCCTCCTCTCCCTGGACTTGTTATTGTTGCTGCTTGTTGATTTTTTGGTTTGTTGTTGTTATTTTGTCATTGTTGTTACTGATGTACTGCTACTTGTCTGTTGCATGGCTTTCCTGAATTAATTCTGTAAAGTCTGTATTCTTTATCATGTGTGGCCTCTGTTCAGTTAATTTAGTGATCAGCTAATGGATAGGTAGAAATTTCCTTAAATGTCCTAAACCAGTAAATCTCCCAGTCTTGGCTAAGTGTTTCTTTGTGTGCATTTTAGGTTGTGGCTTCATCAGTCAGGTAGGCAGTTTACACCTGTGACTTAATCTCTGCTTCTTGCTTGTGCAGAGCCTCAAATTCAGGTGAGAAATTACAGCTTTCTTGGGTCTTTCCTGAGAATGTGTACCTCTGCTCATTCATATGGCCTTCTAGATTCCCAGGAATTTGTATAAGCTTTTCAGTGTTCTATAGACATTTCATATCCCAGTTTTTTCTTTTGATTTTTTTTTTCTTTAGACAGGGTCTCCCTATGTAGTTCAGACTGGCCTTAAACTCACAGTTGTCATCCTCCCTCAACCTCCTGAGTGCTGGTATTACTGACCAAGACTGCTATGCCTCACTTTCCTTTTGATTTTTTAACTCAGCCTTTGTTAGTCCCAGCTGGAATTATTGCCTTAAGAATTTGCAATGTTTACAAATGCCCTGGCAATAAGGCTATTTGCACAAAGGAAATTCTGAGTCTGGTTAAATAACGCCAAGCTCTGAGAATGAAGCTTGAAAGGCAACTTCCAAACCGGTCACAATGTGACAGATGCCTGAGGGTGAGGTTTTTTTTGGAAAGGCCAAGCTGATGTTGTCTCCTTACAATGGCTGACAATTTGCTGGTTCTCACAGCTACCACAGTTGCAAGTTGTTGGTTTCTGAGGCTACCATGGAGATGGAAAGGATAGTATGAGGCAAGTCAAACAGCCACAATGTTCAATCTTTTTAGGGCTACTCAACAATTTTTATGAAGTAAATGTTTCCAGATTGTTGGAACCATCTGGTTAATTTCTAGTGTTCTGAAAAGTTTGTTCTGACCATTTTTGCCAGTGTTCTTGTTGATTTTTTGTAGGAATGGAGTTTTCACTCCATCACTCTCTAAGTGTTTCTTTTGGAACACTCATACACATTACTTTAATTCAATTCTCATTTTTTGTTTGTTTTCTTTCTACTCACAAAGCAATACACTTTTTTGTTTCCTCCATTAGGAAAGTATAAAATTCAAAGGGAAGATATGAAAAAACTATTTTCTAATTTCTTACAAGTTTCCTTGTGCTGCGATGCTGAGTACAAGGTGGACCTACATTGTTTCTGTCCAAAGAAATCACTATAAATCCAAATGCAGTCATTTTAGGTCTATGCCAGTCATGAAACAATAAGGCTGGAGACATTTGGAGTATAGGAAGAGCATATGTAATATTCTAAGAAAACAGGGCTTCTATGCCTGAGTTTCCTATAGAGAAAAGAACAGAGCTTCCAAATAGAGCAGGTATGTGATAATTACTCGATCTTAATTTCACTTTGGCTGGTATTTACCATGTCTCAACAGCCGTCTTTAAATAGCAAAGGTTGAGATGAATGATAAGCAAAATAAAATCATCATCCATATATTCCCCAAACTGAAATTGGAAGAAGATCATCGGTGACAGGTAACTAGTGACTGATGATTCATTCTTGGTGGATATCTTGGGTCAATTCCAGAAGGCATTGTGTTCTCTGGAGGGGCGGGAAGAAGATTTGCATGTCTGACCTCATGCAAAGCTCCAGCTGCAGAGCATATAAACTGAAGGAGAGTAGTCAGTCATCAGTCTTACCAGCGTTAGACTCAGCACTTTCCAAACAGCTCAAGACTATGGCAGCCCTCCGTTCCACTTTTCTACCACTGGGGCTGTTTCTGTACCTTGGACTACACTTTTCTTCCGCCAACTTTACAAATTTCACCGACAACTGCATGGTCTTTGCTGAGGTCTTCACCACCCAAAACCCAGGAATTGAGATCGAGACAGAAGTTTTTCAGGGCAAAACGATCTACACAAGTGAGTAAAACCCATTCTTTCTGCTGTCTTTTGATCTCTGGGAGGTGTTACCCAGACTTTCAGAACACACCCCTTCTCCGTTTCTTCTCTCAGATTCACAGAATATGTTTTAAACCAAATGGGAGGTGGGGAAAGAAAGCAAAAGGAGAATATGTGTGAGATTGGATTGAAGGGACTATTTTTGTACATTCCCTGTCCAAATCTGAGCCACGCCATGCATAAAGTTGTAATACTCAGGTTAAGTGAACCCCAGCAAGAGCACACCTGGACCACATTCTCTGACTTCAGTGAAGGGAGATGATAACTGCCGCCCATTATATAGTCTTTCAATCTACTGACAAAACAGTGCCATGTAAATGACTGTACACTGCACAACTCCAGGAAGTGCTATTTGCATTTTTTCTATGAATGAAAAATTTCCTGACCTAGAGAGTAGGGAAAATCTTAGGTCTGAGAAACCTGAAGCCAAGAAAAGTTAAACAGCTTACTTAGAGTCTTACTGCTAGTAAGTGGCAGAACCAGCTCTTCTCATCCCTAATCCATATTTTTTTCTTAGGAATGTCTAGAAAGCATTTTATAAATATTGCTTTTGGGATCAACCAAACCTACAAGCCAAGGAATATGCTATTTAGTTTCATGACAGCTATATTTACTTTGTATGTATGCATGTATTTAGTCTTCATACTGACCTTCCAGTAGATCTCATTATCATTCCCACTTTGTAAATGTGCAAGTAGAGGCACCACTGGTAGGTAAATTATACAGGTCACAAAGCCACTGCCTTGTTGTACTGAGACATGAACCAGCAATCCAGTTTCAGTGACCTTCCCCTCACAGCACAGCTCTCGTTAATAAATAATAATGAGAGCAAACAGTTCCTATTATATCCTAGGTATTGTTCTAGAGGTGAATGTTGTTATCTTCCCTTTTTACAGAAAAGAACTGAGGCATGGGGAAGTTAAAAATTTACTCATGGTCATCAGACTGTAACAGAGGCGATATCTGAAGCAAAATAACAGCCAATATTTGTTCAGATTCTATCTTCTTAAAAGACTTAACTAAATTTTTCAGAGACCACCAGTATGACAGCCACACTCAGGGTCTACAGGTTCCCTGACTTAGCAAGTGGACAACCTGACATGTTTCCACACATCCTAGCTTGTCTTTTCTTTCTATTTTTTCTTGGGACTGTTACTAAGTGCTTTTGTTGTGACAGGGCTAACTATGCCCTACTCCCTCAGGCAGTAGATCTTGTTCTACCAGAGTAGGGAGGATAATCTTGTAATTCAAGATAATTATCTCATCTATATGTATCTCATATAGATGAGATATATATAAGTATATATAAGTTTTATATATATATACACACACACACACACACACACCTGGGGAATCACAAGCATTACTACACAAGACATTACAGGTCTCTGATATAAGATAACATGTCATAAGATGAAAAATTTTGCTACTGAAATGGGAGAAAGAGAAGTTTCTCATATGAAGATACCATGTAGATATGGGAGCCTTCTGAAAAGAGGGAGTCAAGAGAAGGAACACACAAGATGATCCAGTAGGGTAAAAGTGTGATCACAGCAGTTCCAGAGGTGCCAGATGGAGCCAGGAAAATGGGGAAAAGGAAAATAATCCAGGCTCCTTGAATGCCCACACACTACTATGCACTTTGTCAGGCTTCCTCTCAGCACAGAACATTCAAGAGCTCTATGGTCCTCTCACAATAGGAATGCTTTAAGGTGAGGGTCAAAATCCTCAGCCCTCACGGCTGAGAAGAGCCATATTCCTCACCCATAATACATAGCAGGTTCCATTACTGCCTTACAGAGTATCACTGCCAGGGCTCAGAACTTCTGGGGACTCTAAGTAAATGTGCCCCCAGGCCAACACCTTTCCTCATTTTGGTTTTGAAATCCTTTTCCATCTTACATTGTGTCAACATTGAATGGCTTGGGTGATCCCAACAGATAACAGTAGCTCAGGCAGTGTCTGAGAACAGGTTCCCAGGCCTGTTTTGATATCAAGGAAAGAAATCTTTAATGCAATGATATGTACATTAAGACTGCGCTGGGTCAACTGCTTCCGTTTTCTATTTTTGTGAGCAAAGGGAATGTAATTAGCCTGCCTTTCTTTCTGAACTAAGCTTTAAGGCATCACACCACATTGGATGTACAACTTTTTTAATGGATCAACGAATACTTATTTTGTGCCTTTCCAGTGCCATATACTAACAGTCAAGACCACAGGATATAATTAGGTGCTCGATTAAATGTGAGAGGAAAAGAGGCCTAAATTGGTCCAGAGGAAAGACATGAGCAGGATCTAGGAGTGAAACTAGAGCTGGGATGTGTGATGAGAAGGAAGGATTTCAGATAGGCAGCAAGTCGTAAACAAAAGCCAGAAGTAGGTATGGACCAAGCATGGGCCAGGTGTAGCCTTGGGCATTTCAGAACAGGGCCAAACCAACTGCCAGTAGAGCAGAATTCAAGCAGAGTAAAGCTAGGCTTGCAGTCCTAAACACCAGGAGCTGGACATTATCACTGATAGGACAGAGGCAGAAATACCGTGTAAGACAGTAAATGTTTAGATGCTATAGAGTAAGGACATGTGGAAGTCTTCGGACTGGAGTGTGTCCTGATAGACAAGGTATGTGAGAAAGTCTGGCTGGGACCACAGCAAGTCACAAGGCAGCCTGAAAGAACTTCCAGGAATCCAGGAAATACAGGTGCCTAGGAGAGGAGCAAGGAGGGCTTACCTAACAGTGAAAGGGAGAAACCAGAAGAAGGAAACGGAAAAAACACTTCCTTGAAGGGCTGATAGACTTGACGACTGTGACATCATCATGCGTCACTGCCACCACACTACGTTGCACAGACGTACAACCAGACCAAGTCCAGCACTGTGAGATTTGGGTCATCTGGCCTTGACTGGCAAAGCATACAAGCAGGCCAGAGAAGTATGGTGGACTAAAAATTATTTTAAAACAATTGCAATTTATTTAATATCTGTCATGTATTAAAATTTTTATATTCCTCTCTTAATTGTCCCTGAAACCTTTCCAAATAGGTAACATGACCCCAGGTGAGAGACAATGTTATTACCCTCAGACTCAGAATGAAGACAGGTGTAAAGTGGGTATTCAGGATATGTGTGCGGCCCCACATGATGGTATTATAAGCAGCTAAGTTAGAGAGAAATTAATATACAGTCAGAAAAGGAGCAGGCCCTCAAAGAAATCAGTACAAAAATCAGAAACATCAAAAATTGTGGCTAGGGGGTGAAGGGAGGGCAGGGCCAAGGGGAAAAAATGAGAACCAAGACCTGTCATGTAAAGGTACAAGATCCCAGTAATGAATGTAACTGTGCTGAATACCTAGAAGGTACCAATAAACTCAATAAAAAGGAAAAAAAATTGTGGCTAGAAAGAAATTTGAAGAGAGCCAGGCCAGGCCTCAGGATGGAGATGCAAGAGTTAGGCCTGCAATAAACAGCAATTTGAGATTGGACTATAATTAGTACTCCTGGTCCATGGGCCCAGATAGCCATCAGGTACATAGGTGGGTGACCAGAAAATCCAGACCCATACTTCCCTCCCTTCCCCAAAATGCCTTTGCTCTTTCCACGTACACTTGCTTTGTGCCTCGTTTCCCTATCAGATCAATATTAGCTAACTGGCCATACTTGTACTCACGTAGGTTAATTGTAGTCTGACCCACATTATACTCACGTTGTGATTTTGCTGTACAAATTACCCCTGACAAAGGGCCTCATTGGACATCCATTTGGGTCCCTACACAGAACTCCAGGGACTATTCTTCCCTTTATTTTCAATAAAACTCTCTAAATTTCTTCCTTTGGTCCTCAACTTCATTCCTCCACGTTGTGAGACTGTGAACTTGGCATGTTTGACATCTAACAAGTAGAGAGTTATATCTTTCCTGCATTAACAGCATGTGCTTGTAACCCCAACATTCTTCAAGGCTGAGGAAGGATTGAGCTTTGTGTGGGCCACTTAGCAATTTAGCAAGACCCTCAAAATGAAAAATAAAAAGAGTTGGAAATGTAGTTCAGTTCAAAGGCCCTGGGTTCAATCCCCAGTACGCTAGTAAAAAGAAAGAAAAGAAAGAGGGAAAGGAAGGGAAGGGAAGGGGAAGAGAAAAAAGTGTGGCATGAATGATTAACAGTAAAAAACAAGGATTAGAGGTGACACGCTTTGCTCTTAAGTGCTAGAGGCAGAATTCAGATCCAGGGCTGTCTCATGAGCCTATTGTGCTACATGCTCCACTTTCTTTGCTTAGTGAAGGAGAAATCTTTGCAGGAATTTAAGGCAGTTGAGAGGCTGCCTGGCAAGAACAGCAGCCTGACATGGCAGATTGTACTCACAAGGGACATCCTAAGGGAGGGAATAGACTAAAATTCAGTGTTATCTTGAAATTCCTTCCCTATTTCCCTTGAAATTCCAACTCATCAGAATATTGAATTGACAAGAATCACAAGGTCCCCTGTAAATGTTTGCCTAGCTGGGTCAAGGCGGAGACTCACCTGAGTGGAAAATAATCCTAAAAGGTTATTTGACAGGTACTTGGATTGGGGCCCTGTGGCTCTGAACCAGCACCCCTCCTGCACCTTCCCATACCTTCAACAACAGAGTCTAAGAGAATTAGCATTTCCGGGGCCAGAAGCAGGTCTTTACTTTTACTTGGCAAAAGTGTTCCCTTATAGTCACAGAGCACTTTCCAGGAGCCCACCTAACCCTCTCACTTGTCTCCACACTTGCCCTGACAGGAGGTCCAAACCAGAGCCAAGGGTAGGTCTTTTGTCCATCTTTCACAGCAGAAAATTTGGAAGATACAAGAAAACCACTAGGAAAAAAATTAAATAATCATCTGTAATCTCACTACAAAGAAATCCCTACAGTTAATGACTTCATATACTGTATTTCCTTCTAGACACTCTTCAGCTTCTTTTATAAAGATGAGACCATGCTATGTGTACTCACTCCTTGTAACATTCTTTTCTCACACTTAATTTTTATTTTATGCCCATATCTCTTGACTCACACAGCACAGATGGCTGACTTTTCTCACCCTTTCTTCCTAGTTGGGGTTCCTGTGAGTGACGATGTTAGCACGGTGATCCTACAAGTCGTGGACAGGCACAACAACTCGGTGGGCCTCTGTCAAGGAGCCAATGAGGACTGCAATGGCAGCGCCCTGTATTACCTGACTCACCCTAACAACACATTCTTCAAGGCAAATTGTGTTCTGAACTCCAAGGACATAGCTGACAAGCTGCTGTAAGAACTTATCTGATTTTGCTTTGGACCTTTACATTTTTATTTTGGGTTTTACAGTTTTATATTAACCCCAGAAGACTAAAACTACACTCCGGATATGGTGTCATTTTGTACTGAAAGGGCAGGTGTGACTATCAGGTTGTAGCCACCATCAACAGCTTAATCTCAGAGGGTTATGCTGATGGTGATACTGCCTCCTTCTGTCAGGCTCTGGGACTGGTCAGACTTAATTGGCTTTGGAGGAGGTACTAGTGCACCCACAGAGTAAAGTACAACAGCAGAATCCAAAGGGAGCTGCTACTAATCATCCTGACAATGACAGTGGCTGCTTACAAACCAGCCATGGCTGACTACAGTGAAGACTTTCCTTTCATCTCACCTCATTAAAGCCTGCACTCTCCAAGCAGGACAGATAAAATACCAAATGCTGACAGTATGCAAGAGAAACAGTGCAGTTCCGTTGTTGATGTGGTTCGTAGACCACTCCTAACTCACACACCTAGTTTCTCTGCTTGTTCAGCAAGGGGTGGGAAGCACAGGAAGTAGGGGACTCCACTGCAGTAGGAATGGTGCTGAGGAAGGTACAAATGGGATATGAAGAAGTTCCAGCTTGCAATAACGAGGTTGGTAAGGCTCATACAAAAATAATTACTGAGGTGAAGCATCGCTTCATCAGCATTCCCTGAACTCCAGATCAAGGACAGATGCTCTGTTAAACACTTTCATAACTTCCTCTACTTCATCAGAGCACCTATCATAACTGTGATCAATAATTTAACAGGCTAGTTGAATATTGATTAAAACCTGCCTCTCTGAGGACATTGCGCATGGATAAGAACCAAGCCTGGTTCTTGTTTGCCATTATCCCTTCAGCGCCAAGTATAATGACTGGCATGTAGTAATCTTTCCTTAATCATACACTAAATGTATAAACAAGGGACTTATAACATAATGGACTCTCTGATATAATAACAACCGACCAAGCTGTATGGGTCATTAAGCACCTAAGATGTATCAAACATTGTTGACAACAAGAGACTGCACTCAAGAAGCTGGCCTTCCAGTGGGGCACAACAGCAATTCCATGCAGTACAGAGGCCCATCTGTGATAGTAACAATAGGGAAAAGCAACTTCATAGAGAAGGTTACCAGTGAGGCTCTGAGCAGATGCGACCAGGACAGGTGTTACAGACAGAGGGACTGGCTCAAGCAAAGGGGTGTCTCTGCCTGAGGAGATTTCAGGGTGCTGAAGCTGGTGGGATAGGAGGGTGGGTTGGGTGGTCTGGAGGTAAGACCATGGAGGATCTCAGTCAATACACTATAGAGCACATCTATATTTAATGATGGGCTAAGAGGGTGGGATGCTCCAGAAAAGCAGAAATGTGAGCACAATTTGTGAATTTCACAGATGAGGTATTCACTATATCTCTCACTGGTTTCCCTTCCACAGAGTCCTCCTTGTCGATTTCAACCACTCAGCTGTTTTTATTTCAAGGAATCTAGGAGGAAAAGGTGAGTTATTTTTTAGCCCATGTGCATATTTGTCAGTAAACATCCTAGACAATGACTTTGTGGGTGCTTTAGAAAAAAGCATTTTCTTATCCTGCAGCACTTAGATACCAATTGAATCTCCCAGTAGCTTGGAACCCACATAAAATTTTACCCAACCTCTTATTCCAATGCCCTATAGGAAACAAAAGCCCTCCCCAAGAGTTCAGCAAATTCCAAGACATTTTCATGGTCACCTATCACTCCATATGAGCTATTTCTAGTCAATATCACAGTCTTCCTCGGGTTCTACAAAGAATCCTCACACATACAAATTCTTTATTGGATATAATAGACCTTTTCCAAATGGTTTTAAGAGGGATGAAGGTGAAGGGTGAGAAATTGCAACAAAAAAATGTTGACATCATAGAAATATGAATAATCTCACTAGTTCTTAAAGTGGCCTTTTTGCCACCAACATTATCACCAGGAATTTTCTCTGCCTTTTCACAGGTGGTAGCCCCCAACTTCACACTCTCCTGAGGCTCCTCACTCTTCTTTCTCTTATCAATTCCCTTTTTTTTTCTCTTAACTTCCCTGTAAGGAGCTAAAACAAACTTTTAAAATGAGGTTAAGAAATGTAGGCTCTTACCTAAGACCACCCAGCAAAATGAGGCCTCCAATTCCACTTTTTCCCACTTTTCTTAGACTTATACTAAAACTGAAGAAATAACTTTTAATCAAGTTTTTACATACAAGATTCAACCAAGAACAAGAACTATTAGTCTTTTCTCAGTGTCCAGATGACAGGATTTCCTCATGAGCCCCAAACACTGAGATATCTAGCACACTGCCTACGTTCCTGCCAGTCATGCATTGCAAAATGTGCTCAAAGGGGATAATTATTTCCAACAACAAATTCTGAAGTGATTACACCTAACAAAACTATTATGTGAAAGCCTTAACTGTTTCTTTGGTAACTTTCAGTCCAATAAGACTGAGATGTTATTTTCTTTCTCAAGGACATTTTTGAGATGAATACTTGCATAAAAGCTGAGGGTGGCGGTTCTAATCAGGACACCTTAGCTCTATGGTGATAAAATCCAGTTAAAAGAAAATGGCTGGGAGGGCCAAGGATTTAGCCCACTGGTTCCACCACCTGCCACATAAGTGCAAGGTCTTGAGTTCAATCTCCCATGCCAAAAAATCAAAAACATATTCTCAAGCAGTAATAATGCCTGTCTTCTTAGAAGATGTTTCCTAAATGAAAGGAATTACTGAATATATACAATCATTGGTCAAGGGATTTAGCTCTGTGGTTCCGCCACCTGCCTCGCAAGCCTGAGGTCCTGAGTTTGATCCCCAGTACAAAAGAAAACGGCTGGGGCCAGGGATTTAGCTCAGTGGTGCCACACCTGCCTCACAAGCGCAAGGTCCTTGTCCTGGGGAAATGAGATATGAGATAAGAAGGAGTCACCAAACTGGACGGCACCCTCCAGGTGTACAGAAGACTAAGCCTGGGTAAATCACTGGACATTTTCCTTCCTCCTTATCCATGTGGTCCCTTCTAAGGTCCACTTAGACCCTTGAAGGTGTCATTGCCAAGCTTTACCTTTCCCAGGATCAGACATGCCCCCAGAACTATAGGCCTGGCTTTCTCTGCTTCTTTGCAAAATAACCTCAGAGAACCAATGTCTGGTCAGGTCCCTGCACATAAAAGTGACCAGTGCCTTACAAACCAGAGACAGAGGTCAGGATTTGGAAAGGGCATCCTTTCACTAACTTTAAAATGGAAATGACAGTGTTCAGGACTAGAGGATGCTGAGTTCTTACAAGCTCTTGAAATTAGCAAGAACATAAAATTGTGCTATTCTGAATCAGACTTATACTAATTAATCTAATATTAAGGACCTGAAGACATTTGAGGGCAGGCTATCCCCAATCCAAAAATAAATTCAACAGTTGTAAAAATTCAGTAGGTCTTCCCCTGACATCACAAGACTGCACGATCTTCAGGATGTCTTTGTGTGACTTAACACTCTATACCCCATACTGTCCCTGTCTTAGTTACTTTTCTCTCATTGCTGAGACAAAATATCTGACACCCAAAGTTAAAGGGGGGAAAGGTTTATTTAGCTCACAGTTTGTAGAGGTTTCAGTCCATAACCAGCTGGCTCCAAGGCAGAGTGGCTTGACAAGGGGGCATCACAGAATAGAACCAGTTCATGGCAAGCAGAAGACAGCAAAAGTAAGCAAGCAAGGGACCTTAACAGCACCTTTCTGCTCCTTTTATCTTATCTGGGGTACTCCGGGGGGGGGGTGCACTCACACCCTTAATCCTAGTGCCCTCAAGCCTAGCACTGCGCCATGAATTAATTCCAGCATTATAGACTCCTGATCCAGCCACCCCTGAAAAGCCCCACCTATGAGCACTTTGGGGAAACATCCAGACACAAGCCATAACAGTACCCCTCCACTGCATATACATGGAAGGCACTGGAGAGGTACTGGCTGAATTTGACTCTTTAAACTTTGGCTCAGCAATCTATCAGATTATCTTCTTTTTCTAGTACTCACCCAACCATCCAAAAGAGATTCTGACACCACTGTTTATCTGTTCCAGTGATACCTACAACCTCAACCACCAGGATGACTTCTACCAACAATCTGAACACAACCATGACTATCGACACAGCCGTGACCATGACCACAGCCCAAACCATGACCATGGCCCAAAGCAAGACTACAGCCCAAACCATGACCACAGCTCAAACCATGACCACAGCCCAAACCACAACCACAGCCCAGATCAAGACCAGAGCCCAAACCAAGAATACAGCCCAAACCAAGACCACAGCCCAAAATTTGGCTGTGAGACCCTTCAGTAGCACCATTGCAGGTGCCATTCACATCATGCTTGTTTTTCTTGCCAGTAAGCTCCTCTTCTAAAGGAAACCAGGAAAGCAATTACATAGTTTCCAGTGCAGCCTCCCGTGCTCGGGCTCTAGACTAGGACTTGAATGTAGGTGAATGAAGGCTTCAGTTGTGCAACTCCACTGCCCCTATTTCAGAGTAAGAACTGGGGTACTCGCTGGTGGGCATGGGTCACACCAATGTTCAACTGGACACAAATTTAGATTTTTGTAAATACACAGACCTAGCCTGACTATAGCCTGGAATTCTGCCTTTGGATATAACAGCCACTCCAAACTTTTGTTCATAGCCAAAGGATTCCTCTGTGCCTCCTAATTTTCTGGAGGAAGACTCTTTCCTTACGTTCAAGATGATCTCAGGTTTCTGACCAAAATCCTTCTAGAGGAAATAGAATTCCTGTGGCTGGGGGACTCAAGAAGGATAAATAGCTTTGAGAGTATGGCAACTTCCCATCTTATCCTTAAGAGTAGATTCAAAAGAGCAAGAGGATAGGATGATGCCATGTCACCAATGATAGGAAAAATTATGTTCTTTGTTCTAAATCACACCAAATAAATGATACTTGAAACAAGAATTACTGTGTTAAATTCAAATTTAAATCCTTAATGAGTGATTAACTTACAATTTAGAGAACGTTACCAAATCTTTGGGGGAGGAGAGTATTGAGGTGGGCAGTTTTGAGACAGCATTTTGCTGTGTAGTTCAAGCTGGACTCGAATTCACTACATAGCCCAGGCTGTCCTCAAGCTTTCAATGATCTTCCTGCCTCAGCCTCCCAAGTGCTGGGATTACAGGTGTGCACCACCATGCCTGGCTCAAATCACATTTCATTTATGTATTAAAAATCAATGGAAGGGCTGGGGATTTAGCTCAGTGGTTGTGCTGCCTGCCTCGCAAGCACAAGGACCTGAGTTCAATCCCCAGTACCAAAAAAAAAATTAATGTAATGATGTATGTGTATATGTTTTCAAGGCCAAACCTAGGAGTAAATTTATCTCAATTTTCATTTTCCTCAAGTGCAAAATGGGTTACCTTTCCCTCTATAGTAATTTCCACTAAGAAATGGGCAAAATACTTATATTTATAATACAGTTTAAAACTAAAAGAAAGCATGGTGTTTCCAGTAATAAGCTTGTAATAAGCAACAGTTTTAACAATAAGACCAGATTCCACAATGCCAATATTGTTTTCTGATCCCCAAAATCATGTGCCTTTTTAAAGTTCTGACTCTTAGAATACTGTCATGATGTTCCACATGACACCTTTCTGTTTGTAACTGAAGATAGCCTCCTATCCGCTGTTAGCCAGTTTATTCCCATATGCTTGGCCTGAGTTGTCATAGAGACAGGTTGTCTGTAATTCTTTGCCAAGATCAAAAAAGTCACTAGAGCCAAGTGCACAGCCAATTTCCTCCTTCAATATCAACCATCTACTAACAGGAGGGCTGAGAAAAATGGCACACTCCCAGCTTCTTCGGAGAAACTGCTCATGAGGTTGACTCCACGTCATCCCTGAGGGAGGAGCAACAACAGTCCCCTCCAAAGGCCTAGCAATGTTATGGGATGAGGAAAAGCCCATAAGTGCCTATCTGATCAACATTTATCTAACATTTCATTACCATTACTACTAAATACTGTAAGAAGTATCCTAATTTTTATACTACAAAAGATGTTGCTTTTGGATGGTTTCTTATGTTGAGGATTTGCAATAGCAGGGATTGAACTCGGGCATTCTATGACTAAGCTACGTTCCCAACCCTTTTTACTTTATTTTGACGCAGTTTCACTAAATTGCCCAGGCTGACCTTGAAATTTTAGTTTCCTGCCTCAGCCTCCTGAGCAGCTAATGTTCCTGCTTTTGTTTTTACCCTCCCCTTAGCAAAAGTATAAAAGGGATTTTACTACAGTGTAACCATTCAAACATATGTATGGTTTAGATAATAGCTGCCCTCTACTGCTTCAGATTTATCCAGCAACAGATATTTGTTGAGCAATTATTATATGCAGGTATTGTTCTGAGCTCTTGAGCAAAGCAAAGATCCCCTCTCTAGTGGATCCCATCTCAAGATTCTCTCAAAATGTTATTGATCCTCAAACATTGTCTCTATGCCAGTGCTGTTAGGTGTTTTCACATGTGCCATGTGTGAAATTCTCACAAAACAGCACTATCCTGAAAACTGACTGATTGTTCTCATGTTTAAAGATAAGACAACTAAAGTTCAGAGAAGTTACATAACTGGACTCGATCACAGAGCTAGTATGAGGAAGGGCAGGAATACAGACCTGCTCTGAAGACTGCTTTTTCATTTAGCTAAAATGTACTGAGTCGGCCTTGACCTTGACTAGCTGAGTGATGTGAGATAACACTTGCCCTGCTTCAATAAGTGAGTATATAATAACAATGCCATTTATCATAGCTGTAATAACTACTCAACAAATGGTAGCCATTATTATAATGTGTCTCTTTGAGCTTATTCTTCTTGGCATTTAAATTTCTTGAATCCAGGCATTGATGTATTTCATACGCTTTGGTAAGATTTCAGCCATTATTTCTTTAAATAGTCTCTTAGCTCCTTTCTCTCCTCTCCTGGAGCACTGCTTCTACACATTTTGGTACACTTGATGGTATTCCACAGGTCTTTGAGACTGGTCATTTTTCTTCATTCTTTTTTCTTTCCACCCCTTAGACTGAATAATTTCAATTGACCTGTCTTCAAGTTCACTCATATTTTTGTCTGTTCAAACATGCTATTGAACCCACTAACGAATTTTTAATTTTAGCTATTATGCTTTTCAGCTCCAAAATTTCTATTTGGTTTCTGGTTATGACTTGAATCTCTTTATTATTATGCTCTGCTGTTCACACATCATTCTCCTGGCTTCCTTTAGTTCTTTAGCCAAGATTTCCTTTTGCTCTTTGGATATACTTACTTAAGGCAGTTGACTTAATATCTTTGCCTAGTAAATCCAATTACTGGTCTTGGGGGCAGTTGCTATCAAAATTTTTTATTTCAATGGACCACGCTCTTCTGTTATTTTGTATGTCTTATATTTTTGTTTAAAAGTAAATGTTTACAGTGAGTAACTCCAGAAATCTGATTCTCACACACAACCAAGGTTTACTACTGATGTTGAAGGTTGCAGCTGTCCATCTGTTTAGTGACTTTTCTAAACTATTTTTGCACAGTCTGCATTCCTTGTTGTTCATGGTCACTTGTCTCTTTTCTGTTATATCAGCATTCAGACAATAATCTTATGGATTGTTTTAAATGCCAAAAACTAGCAGCTTGTTTTTTCATTAAGCATTGCCCTGGTAGCTGTTTATATGTTATATTCCAGAGTTCTGAGAAAGTTGATTCTGACAGTTTTTGCCAGCTTAATAGTTGCCTTAAGGGCCCAGTACTTAGATCTATTTCACAAATTTCTGTAACATCACTGGGCAGCTACTATAGTTATCTGCCAGACCTCTGCTAAGCACTATACATGAATTATCTCCTTCAACCCTCATACCAACTCTATGAAATATGGCCATTTCACTGATAAGGATACTCAGCTAAGAAAGAGAAATCATTTCCCGGAGTCACTCAGTGAATAAGTAGTGAAGCTGGGTTTTGAAAACTGGCCTATACAACTTCAGAGCTACAGGACACTCTGAAGGTTCCTGAGTAAATCCTGCATCATCTGGGATTACACCAGGATAACTGGCTCCCCAGGTCACATGACAAGAAGCAGGTGTGGGTTCCCCTGCTGACACAATAAACAGGCTACACGCTCCAGCTCCCACTGCCTGCTGCCATCTCCAAGATAAACTGCATTGAGTCCTGACCCAACTTGCTAAGGAAGAGTTTCGTATTTATCTTTCATGGCTCAGCCTCACCCTCATCTCAGTTTCAACATGAAAGGTATGACAAATACTGACTTTGCTACAAGCCAGCACCCCAGCAAAGATATTCTGTTATGAAGGGAAATTCTTAAGTCAAAAAAATCTGAGCAGCTGTCTGCGATCACCCGGCGGCGTGCGCGCGAGCTCCCGGCCTGTGCGGGAGCTCCCGGCCTGTGCGACAACAGACCCAGGAAGGACCCAAGGACCCCAGAGGGGGTTTTTTTCAGCTGCCTGCCTGCCTGCCTGTCTGCGATCACCCAGCGGCGTGCGAGCGAGCTCCCGGCCTGCGCGACAACAGACCCAGGAAGGAAGGTAGCCGCGCGGGCGCCCTTGAAACACCCACACGACGCCCCCCCCCGTTCTCAAAACTCCTGATCGGGCCAGTCCTTAGACCAACTCTGCAGAGGCATAGGTTCCCATGAAGGGTAGTTTTCTGAGCTCCGAACTTTGATCATCTTTAAAGAAAGGGCAGGGGAAACCTGTAATAGAACGGAGTGGAGTTCAACCCTGAGGGTAAGGAAACTAAAGTTAGGCTTTGTAGATTGTGTTCAGTCTCAGTCGTGAGGAACAGCCATTGGCTAGCTATAACCAGGGGATTGGGTTCCGCATATGACTGTGCATGTGGTATAATATGAGATCAGAGATAGCCTGAAAGAGGACCTTCAAATTCTTTTTCTTTCCCTCTCTCTTGTCTCTTTTTTCCTCTTTCCACCCTAAAATTTCTTTCTTTTTTCTGTCCTGTCTCTCCAACTCAGTCTCTTGCTCCACCATAGTGTCCCTCATCTCCCTTTTTATTCCAGTTCCTGAAGAACTCAGACTTCTTTTTTTATTTTTTGTTTTTAGGACGGGTTTCTCTTTATGTTCTTTTCTCCAGTCATTTTACCTCACTCATGGCTCTGTACCTTCAAGGGAAGGCAAGCGCCTGTTACTGTTAAGGGGATATATTCCTGTCCTTATTCCTGCACTCTCTCTATCCCCCCTGAACTTAATAGCTTTGTAAAGATAGTAAGGTAATTCTACAACCTCTGGATTCACTTCAAACCTGCTCTAATTCTTTCACTTATCTAATCCTCTTGTTCTAAGTCGAACCCCCCATCCTAAATGGTAAAGATGCCATATTGAAAAGAATATTCACTGCAAACATACTATGAGCTGCTTCTTGAAATTAATCTAATTCACATGAGTTAAAGGTGATACATTAATGACTACCATAAGTGGTCAGTTGGCAAGCTGTGCCTGATCCTATTGGGCTGCTGAATGTATCAATTGGGACAAAGAGTGGTGATTGATTTAAAGAGTTGTTTTCTCTGATATTATGAAAACGAGAATGTCTATGAGTCATAAGATACTCAAAAGCTAAAACGCAACTATATTAGGAAGATTTAAGTAATACCCAGAAATTAAAGAAGGACAACCCAACAATAAAAATAAAAATGAGAAAACACTTAAGCAAGACACAAAAACAAATATCCAGTTCACCAATAGCAAATAGTAGGACAAATGAGGATGAAAAGTCTGATAGTGAACCAACAGGACTCCCTGGACCCATAGCACAGGAGGTAACAAAATTGATCAATCAGGCTCTAGAAAAATTCAAATCAGAAATAATTTCCCAGCTAGCCAGAGAGATGATGAGCAAAATAGAAGTCATGATTCGAGACTCTA